TTAAAAAGAATTATAGAATACAAAAAGAATAATTACCAAGGAGGAAATCAAAGGATCTTCCTTCCCCTGTAAAGAGGCAGCAGGTTTGGACAGCTCTACACATATAGGTCAATTCTCTCAAATTTTCAGAGAATTATTATGTCATAAAAAGTATTCTAGAAAAATAACACAAAAGTGGAGAATCCTTGCCAGGTCATTCGCATAACCAAGTTGAATAAGATAGCATAAAAATGGAAATCAGCAAATTGCACCCAGTTTTCATAGAAAGGAATCATTATCAAGTAAAAATTTGCAACAAATGAAGAGACAATTGAAATTAAGAAACCGGTTACTGTGATTTACGACATTAACAGATCATAGAAGAAGAACTGCATTATCATCTTAACAGATGCCAAAAAGCAGTGATGAAATAAAACTCACATTCCTGATTTAAATGGTACAGGAAGCTAGGAATAGATGTTTTCTTATTTGGATAATATCTACCAAACTTAGAGCAAGCATGATAGTTAAGAGTGAAACACTGGAGGCAGGTGTCTAATGATCACAGCAAGACAAAAATCAGAAACAGATGTCATTACTATTCTACAGTGTAGCAGAGGCTGTCACCAAGGCAATGAGACAAAAAAGAGAAATAAGTATAAATAATGGAAAGAAAAAGATATAAGTGCCATTGTAGATAATATGATTATCTATTTGGAATAGCTAAGAAAAGAATCCATTAGGCTACTGTTACAAAATAGAAGCATAATATCAGTGCTTTACACACCAGCAAAAACCAATTAGAACATGTAACAAATAAAAATGATCTCTTTTACAATATCAACACAATGTAGAAGATAATTAAAAATTACTTGACAAGAAACGTGAAAGAGCTCTGAAAAACTATATAAAGCTTTACTGAAAATAATTAAGTGGGATGGGAAAGCTCAATATTATAAACATATCAATTATTCCCAAGTAGGTACATATATTTTGTGAAGTTTGGACCAAAATTTGAAAAAAGTTTTGTGTAGCTTGAACAGCAGATCTAAAAAATCATCTGAGTGAAGAACTGAGAAAAGCTAAGACACTTTTAGAAAGTGGTATCTTCATCAACAAATTTGACAACAATGAAGGAAAGACCACCCACCAGATACCAACACATTGCAATGTTATTACAACTAAAATAAAATATTAAACAGGGATGGGACTTCTAGATCAATGGGACAAAATAGAAAGTAAAAAAACAGGCCCAGGAAATAAAAGAAAGTCAATGTTTCAAAGGGGTATCTGAAACCAGGAGATGAAAGATAGATTATTTAATAATGATTTGGTTACAAATGCTTAATTTGAAAGAAATAAGGTTAGCTAGGGAGGACAAGGGTAGGGTGTGGTTGGGAGAAAAAAAAAAGTTAGCTCTTACCTCTTATCTCCCTGAAAAGTAAAATGCAAATGAACTAAAGGACTAAATGGAAAATACCAAACTACAAAGCATTAGGAAAAAATCAGAAACAAATTCTTATAACCACGGGGACTTAAGGCTTTCCTAAATAAGACACAAGATACAAAAATAAAGAAAATATTACTAAATAACAAACCTTTTGTATGTAAGATACACTTAAAGTTAAGGCAAAAGTAACAGATAAGTAGAGAGTATTTTCAAGTGTGACCATCAAAGAACTAAAATATATAATACAATGATAAAATAAAACTAATTTCTAAAAATCAATAGAAAAGGACAAGTAGCCCAATAAAATAATAGAGAAGAAGTGTGAATGTGGCTTTCACAGAAAAAAAAATGCAAACAGCCTAAACACAGTAAGCAATGCTCAATCTCAGTAGTAATTACAAAAAATGTTAACTAAAAAGAAATTTTTTTTCTTACATAAAGTTGGCAAAAATTTAATAGACTGACAACACTATTGTTGACAACATGAGAAAACACACCCACACACTGTGATGGCTATGTAAATTTCTATGAAGTTTTGAGAGCTTAATTTGGCAGGTCTGCTTTAAAATTAAAGATCCATACACTCTTCCAATTAGCAATTACATTGTATTTGTATAAAGAGGTTGCACAATGGTGGCATTGTTTATGATATCAAAACATTGAAAAAGTATTTAAATGTACATCATTATGGAACAATGGTTAACCACTGGGCTGGGGAGGCAGGTGCTGGAATCACCTGACACAGTGGCGAAGAGTATGTTATGAAGAGTATTGCCTATAAAAGACTGCCTTTATTGCATTTATTTTAAAATTCTCTACAGGCAATGCAACCCCTATTCCTGCACTCTGGATGGACTTCCTGCATTCCTACCCTTCCCCCCTTGGTATGCCATCTGAGTGTAATCTTTTACAGGGAGAACGCATAGATCTGTGTGTACCAACCACTACTGTTAGGAGAAAGCGGTGGAGAAATATGGGGACCAGGATGCCAATTTTGCTAAAACACACATATATTTATTGCACTATATTTCTAAATGTACTTTATGCAGATGAATGCATAAAAATCAGCATGGAGTCCTACTAAAGCTACTTGTAGTCATTTGGGGGGAGATGACAGAGATTTAGGATTGTGGTCAAGGAAGACAGCATCTATATGTCTTCTTATAATCTATATTATGTTATATGATGTAATATTTTTTATATTATATAAATATGTTTTATATTGTAATTTATTTATATAATTTAAAAGTTAATAATTGAAGTCTATAACCTTATTTTCTTTATTTTTTGGGAGAAGAGAACTGCTCTAGTAAACCAAATCGAAGGGAGGATGCGAAGGGCCAGGGTTTTGATCTATCTAGAAGCGTAGCGCCAACCCCACCTAGTGGAGAGGAGAACACACTGCCACTTGCTCAGGATGGCAGAGACAACACTGGTCCAGCGCCTCGTTTTTTGCTGGCTTAGGCCTTCTTTCTGTCAATACCTTGCAAAGTTTAACAGCAGAATACAACTTTCAAGCCACTTCAGAATAAATAGAAAGCTTCAGGAACCTAGCTTATGTGGATATGTGGCATTTTGTACCTGCAAGTTAATCACACAAACTACCCTCAAGAGTATCCCCTGAGGTAAGTCACCCGAAATCTTCAGACAGCAGTCTCCACTGGAGCTACATAATGATTCTCAGTTGAACAAGACTTTTTATATTCATTCTATAATCCTATAAAACCCAAGAGGCAGATTTTTCATGACATTCTGTTTTACAGTGGAGAAAATGAGAGCTTGGACTAAATAAAAACTTTCTAGGCAATGTATTAATAGATCAGGGAGGACTTGAGGACCTCTGAGTCCACAACTGTCTTCTTGGGAGCCTCAGGACCAGAATCTGGTTGAGGAATTCATACCTTGCAGTAAGTATTGGTGATGTCTCAGCCTGTATCCCTGGACCTGGGTGAACTGCTCATAGCTGTGGGTGACAGTTTCTGGCCCCCTGATAGTTTCCTGTTTCAAACCTAAGTCTCTCAGGGATTGCATAGGCATCACCTATGCAAACATGGCAGTGAATGGAATTGAAACCCAACTTGGGCAAGAACAACTCTCACCCAAAGGGAGATGGGAGACCATGGGTAATGATCCCTGCCTGTCCTCTGGTGGGAGAATTCTGAACTTGTCAGAAGGTGCTGATGAGCCTGAGGCCCTGGTGCTTACAGCCTACCTTAATTGGCCTTTCTCACTTTCCTGTCTCAGCCTGGGGTTCCTGGGATCTCCTTCCACATAAATTGCCTGGATCCAATTCCTTGACTTGGAATCTGTTTTGGGGGGGCACCCAAACTAAGATGCAGGGCATGGTAGCTAGGTACTCTGGGAGCCGCAATCACATGTAGGAAGTGGGTGTGGTTTCTCCAAGAGCATAAAAGGTCAAGTTGATGGTAAGGTGATTAATGACTATATGTTTACTAAAGGCAGTGGCAACCTAACTAGATTTTCCATAAGATTCTCAGTTTTGAATATGCAATCTACTGCTTATATGAAGTCATTTAAAACTTCCAGGCCACATTTGTCACTTTTAAGTTTAGAAAATACTACTATTGGTAACCCAGAGTAGGTGCCACAAGGTTTGATATTGGGTCCATGGGGATGCACAGAGTTTCACCTGGAGGGGTGTGGGCCAGGGCACCACACAGTCAAAGGCACAGGGCTGTAAAGGAGCAAGGTATAGTTAGAGACTATAAGGTTAATCTGTTGGGAATCCATGAAGTATCGGAAATAGTCAACAAAATGGGGTGTGTCTGTGTGTGTACAGGTTCATTCTCCTAAGGAGAGAGTTCATAGCTTTAATCACATTTTAAAAGGGGGGCAGGGTTCATGAACTAAACCATGTGGGTGGAGCCAGTGAAGATGGTGAGAAGGGGTATGACCTGGACCAAAAAATCACAGAATGTTAGCAAACTGTACCCCGAGTTATTATACTGAAATAATGTTTACCGAGCCCTGGTGCTGTGTGTAGGACAGAACTTAGCTCTTTATAACATTATCTCATTCACTTGTTATAACCATCCTTTGAGGTGGGTTCTAACATTATTTTCATTTTATAGACAAGGAAACTGAGAACTAGGGAGATGCCAAGCCCAGGGGCACACAGTTGGACTTGAAACTAGGTAGTCTGACCCTAGATCCTTTACCTATAACCCTAAGCCAGAGGCACTTAAAATTCAGTTCATGGTGGCTTTTTTTAACACACAGCAGAGGCCCATCTTCAGAAATTCTGATTTGGCAGGTCTGGGGTAGGGCATGAGAATCTGAGTTCCCTGGTAGTGCTGATGCTGCTGATCTAGGGACCGTACTTTGCAAACCACACTTTGAATTCTAAGCTATCCTCTCCAAAGAAAAGGACATGGAGCTTCAGTGAGTTGATGTGACCTGTTCAGGGTCACTCAGCTACTTAGTAGCAAAAACAAGATGAGCATGTGAATCTGTAGATTCCAAACCCAGGACTCTTTATGCCACTTGTGCTTGGAGAGGGCACATCCTTCTGTAAAAGTGTGTGCACCTTTACATGCATGCGGTCTGTTACCTGCTGGGTGGCCAGGTCCTGGGGATGAGTGCTGGGGGAAGATGGTTCCTTGCTTGGCTCCTCTGATCCCGCTCGGGCCCTTCTCCACCTCCTGGCCCTTCGGTCTCCAGCGTGGAGGGCCTCCTCTGGCTCACTGCTGTCTGAGGTCTCCCTGCTGGCCACCTGGGGGTTGAAGTTCACGTCCAGCTCCCCCTGTATGCGCATCTTCTCAGCTGCAGGGGTCCTGGGGCCCTTCCTCTGCAACCAGGACAGTCTAGCTCGGCGCCCAGCCTCCCGGGAAGAGCCAGCTGAGGAGGTCTCTGAGTCAGAGCATATGGCCTCGGGGTTGGGAGAGAGCCCAGAGGAGGAGGAGGCAGCTAGGAGGCCTTGCTCAGAGCTCTGGGCCTGCATGGGCTGAGGCTGGGGGTTCCTGGGTAGGCCCTGGGACTGTGGGCATAGCTTGCTCAAGGCCTCACTCCAGTCAAAGTCCTCTTCGCTGTCAGAGCCCATCTCGTCATAGGCGGACACCACATTGGAGGTCACCTCCAGGGCCTGGAATGTCCCACTCTTGGGTTTGGCCAACAGGCGTGTCGGGGGTGGAGCGCCATCCTTCAGGGCCACCCAGTTCCCATCTGGGCTCTGCAAAACCGGGGCCAGGTCTGCAGGTGGAGGAGAGAGAGAAACCAGAGAGGGGCTATTATGCCTCAGCATAAGATGAGGTTGCCACTGATGCTACAGAGCAGCTGCAGCTGGGGGCAGAGGTTAAAGGCCCCCAGGAAGTCCCTTGAAGCCTCACAGGCTCCACTGCTGCACAGATGAAGAGAAACTCAGAGACCTGGCTCCTGTTTCACATCTAACTGGGTAGATGCCCCCTACTCTCCTCAGAATTGCCCCACTCCTGCCCTACGCTGGCTTTGACAAAGAGGGGAGAGGGCTGCAGTTGGCAGCCTTAGCTTCTGGCTCTTTGACCTTGGGCCATGGTTTTGTTTTTTGGATACTCAGTCCCCCTCCTTGATCGAAAATAATTCCACCATCTCCCCTGACCTCCCTCTCAAGGTAACACATCTGCCCTTGGCACTTTTATAGATCCCCCTTACAGCCTCCTGAGATAGGCATGTAAGTCTATTTTTAACTCAAGGCATACGCCTCATTCTGGAAAGGGCATGAGGCCAAAAGAGGTTGGTATTTCCATTCGCATTTTACAGATGAAGAAATGAAGATAGAAGTAATCTGTCAAAGGTCACAGAGCTACTAACTGTTCGAGATGGGATGGGGTACATCCTCTATCCTGCTTCAAGACAGCTTTGGGGTATAGACAGTGCCAGGGAAGGCCTCAGTCAGCTGTAAAGCACTGTGCAAGGGCAGGGTGGAGTAGCTCTGGGTCTGAAGGTCTGATCTGCATGGGTCTGAGCTGGGCTCAGGTCTGCCCAGAGCATCTGGGATGACTGGTGGCTGGGCCCTAACAGTTGACCTACATGCGAGGGGGTGGTCAAAGTTACTTTGTTTTTGTTAAAGGCGAAGTGTTTTCTGCCTCTGTGTCGGGGGGTGGGAATAAGGTGACACGGTGCTCCTTTAGTTGAAGCCTTGGACACAGCAGCTGCCAGCAGGAGCTGTTTTGTACCAGGACCCTTGCAGGGCTGTCTGAGAGTGGGTGATGAAGGCTCCAGGAGTTTGGAGGGACTGTTCCCCAATTTGTGTTTGATCTGGGCTTGAGGCCTGCAGGGACCAAAGTCCTGCTTTGGTAGGACCTCCTCCTTCATGCTACTTTAAACACTCAGGTTTTCTACCAACTGAACTGCTACTGCTCTGTATAATGAAATGGGAGACATCAGCAGTTCACAGTGTTGTCCAGAGCACTGTCCTTGCTAGGGCTGCTGCAGAACCACAGCCTTGGGGGAGTTCAGATGCTGGCAGAACATGTTTCCAACTCGGCGATGACCCAGTTCCACTCCAATTGCCCGACAGCAGCTCACACTGGCAGGACATCGAGTTCCCTTTCTTTGAGCATCAGGAAGTGGGGCTTTCTCTGCCAGGAGGATGCTGGGGCAGCAGTGGGCGCCTGGAAGCCTGAGACCAGGGGCCCTGCCTTTCTCCTGCTGCTCCTGCCTCCAGCATCCCTCTCTATCATTGCTATGTGGTAAATACACAGTGGCCCTCCGACAGCTCATCCCCCTGCCCCTGTTTTCCTGGAAGACAACCTTGTCAGCCTGGGGCCTCTCCTCTCTGAGCCCACCTGGTGGCACCATGATCCTGTATTCCGGCTGGCCACACACATGCTGAGCTGTCCTCTGGATGACAAGGGCCCAGGCATAGGGCCTGGATCCCAGTCATCTTTTCCTCCTCAGGAGAAAATGAGTCTGCTCTGTCCCAGAGCCAGCTGGTACAGAGGAAAGACAAGTGGTCTTGACGTCAGAGGGCCCAGTACAGCCACGCAGCAGCTGTGTGATTCTCTGTGCCTCAGTTCCCTCCCTGGTGAAAAGGGCACAGCTAACATCTCCCTGGGCTGCTGTGAGGACTGCATGAGGGACGCTCGTAAAGAGTGGTACCCATGCCTGCTCAGAGCAGATTAATTCTTGACGTCTCCTTTCCCTGTGTCGATAAATGAATGAGGCTGCTTTAGTGCAGGGCAAACAACAAGAACTTTGCATTCAAGTAGATCCAGATCTGGCCCTCAGTTACTAAGTTTACTAACAGGTGACTTTGGTCAGAGAGCACTGTTGAGCCTATTTTCTGGCCTATCAGTGGGGTCGGTGGGAACCACCCTGGCTATCATTAGGATTATTAAGACATAAAGAATATAAAGCATCGATCACAGTGCCTGCTACACTGAGGGCTCTCAGCTATTTCACCTTATATCTTTTGAACTGGATTATAGTATCAGTATTTAACCCCTGATTTTGAATCAGCACCCATGGATCCCATATGCATGCACATAGAAAACAGAGAGATACATACATATATCTTGTAGCCACTATTCAGTATTATATATTAATATCTACACAGCAACACTATTTTCATTGACTATGTAGATATTCAGAAGAGTGGCTAGCAACTAGGGTGTTTATTACTTTTTCTACTTTATGGGATCTATGGATGGTGGTGGTCATGGCACAGTGGTAATACTTCTAAGAAAAGTACTTTGATGTTGGTGGCCTTCTCCCAGTGCTGTGTCCTGAGGTGTCAGATGGTGTGAGTTTCTCAGGAACCTTCAAGTTCTCAGTGAGGCTATTCATGGCCAGTAAGTGGCAATATTGATTTTTCCCTAGAGCAGACCCTGTGGGTATCCACCCCAAACCTTAGCTCTTGCCATTTCAGTACACCTCAGCTGGACTTCTAAGTTCCAGAACTTGCAATTTTTTGCTTGATGCCTTTTCTGGCTGTTAGGACCTACATTGCCTGCCCTGGGATAGCATGAATGTGCCAGGAACCACCTCCTCCTGGAAGCAGCTCTCAACCAATGACTGGAGGAGTAGTAGCTCAGTGGTGGCTCAGTATCCCAGCTTCATGGCCTTCTAGCACCCCAGCTCCGTGGCCTTCTAGGCAGGTGAATCTTTTATCTAGGCTCTCAGAGGCCCCAGCAGGGACAAGCTCGTCACCCACAGTGGTAATCTGCTTGGTAACAAGTCATTTATTGCCTGTCGTTCCTTCCTTCTCTGATGTTCCCTCCCCTCCCTGTGTGTTTCCTAGGCTTGTTTCCCAAATAAACTAAAGGTCCTTAGATTCTCATGTTACAATCTATTACTGGTAGAAGTTAAACAAAGACACCCACAAGTGTAAGATGAAAAGTAGCCATAGCATTCAGTGGTGGCATGTTCACGGAGAAGAAAGGAAAGGTCTTTGGGGTCTTACAGGTCTGCTCTCCAGATCATCTCCTGGGACTTGACTCACACATCGATCCTTAGAGGCACATTGTTGGCCTTCTTTGCTTAAGGAGTATAGCTGTTCTGTTCTCTGAGTTTGCAAAAAGCTTTCTTTTTTAAAAACACTTAAACTGCTTATTTTCTTGGTTGACTGTGAGCTTCTTGAGAACAGAACCATGGCTTATTCCCAAATTGTACTGCCAGGTTTTAGCCAGCTCTAGGCCTCATCCTGGATACATAATGATTACTTATTAATGAACACAGGTACCGAAAGGTTGCAGGGGCAAGACTGAGCTCTTGGTGTGTAGCTGTCAATGAGCCCTGCTATCTATACCTTCTCCTGGGGCCCAGGGAAGAAGTAAAGAGGGAAATCCCTTGATAATCCCACTCAATGCTTGGATTTAGGGTTGACTATGTTGCAAATATGGTCCCTGGACTCTGACACCCACTACTTAGTAGGAAAGGATTCAGTCCATTGCCAGCTCCTCTCTTCCCCTGCCTTTCATAACCCCAGGTTGCCATGTGCCTCTGGGGAAAGCTAGAAGTTGGACAACTTTGATCTCAGCAAAAATCCATCCTTCTTAGTGCAAACAGATGGCTCCCTGAATAGCCAACTCTGTGAAAACCTTGGTGGTTGTCAAGCTGCATCATTAGAACTTCTCAGAGTGGTACCTGGGCTCCAAGACCACTTTCTTGCCGTTCACCAGGTACATCTCTCCGGGGACCTGCTCCCCCATCCCCTCTTCTCTCTCAATTCCAGCTCTTTCTCCATTGTGCAGACAATTCTCAGTGAGCAACTGTGGAGCAGTGGCAACTCCCTTATCTTTATTTCCCCAACACTGAACACAAGCTGTGTATATAACAGATGCTCTCTCAAGCTCTGTAACATGAACTTGTATTTTGGGGAAATCTATTAACTGCTATAAGCACCATCAAGGCTGATGGTAGAGTTGTTGTTGTTTGCCCAAGCAAAGCTGATTCTGCCTGTGCCCTAACAGCTCCTGAGCCAACCCTTCTCAAATTGTGTTTGAGGCATAAACACAATCACCAAAACTAGCCTACCAGATAGTAACCTTCTAAGATGACCACTACCCCTGGGACTCCTCTGTTATACTGAGACTGAACAACGCCCTGGAATAATTTTCATCCTGCTAAACATATTAGACATTATCCCTCAAGGACCTCTCAGGCTTAGCATGGATATTTTAGTATATCAAATGCTAAACATTCCTCAGAAAACCCAGAAGATTTCTACTCAAGTTCTATTATTTTTTATTTTAATTCAATATCCTAGGATATGCATGGATTTTAGAGTGCAGTATGAAATCTTTTTTTGTGTGATGCCGTGAAACTAAGTTTTATGTTTATATACAACTGATAAATTTCATATGGGTGCCTCTTATAGAAAATTATATATAAAATGATGTTTTGGAAAAAAAATTCCTTTGCAAATTTATTAGAAATGCTCCTCTAAATCTACCAGGGGACTATTTAGTGAAATAGTGTCTTCTAGAAGTTCTAATGGTCTACAAATTTATCAACCAAGTCTAAATTTTGAAATGCTGGTTTTTGTTTTGTTTTTATGGTAGAGACACTTATCATACAGTAGCTTAAAAAGCCTGCAAATTGGAGTCATAATGTTTGGACTTGAGGACCAATGCTGGTCATGTTAGCTGAGGTCTTGGGGTCTTGGACAAGTCACTTAACTTTCCTGTTTACTAATGTTCTTATCTGTCAAACGGGATAATGATAGTTCTTAGCAATGCTGTTGGAGGGGTATATATAAAATAGTGCCTGTATAATGGGCTCTAAACACTGTAAAATGGTAAAATGATTTTAAAAGCTAAATATTATTGTTTATTGAAGATCCATATAGAATATATCACATATGAGAAGATATCATATTCTCATATGCCCTGTGGAATCTAAGTGTCCCTTCCCTGTGGGAATTTGCAGTCCAGAGATAATGAGGGGTGGGAAAAGTGATGGGTGGGGGAGGAAGGAAGAGAAAGAGAGAATATGAATGAATAAATATGAATATGATGGGCAGGCAAGGCAAAGAAAGGCATATTTAGAAAGGAAAAATTCACTTAAAAAAACACAAAATCCGTAGCCATTAATAAAGAAAATATTGTGTGCTACAGAATCGCTGCAATGTCACTATTCTGCAGTTTCTACTGACAGGCACTAAAAGGTAATATGGAAACAATCACTTTACAAACCATGTGTCACACATATTGAGGAGGCTCTGAAGAGGTGAATTAAACTGCCCCATGTAGAGGCAGGAGATTCTAGGAGAAGGAAGCAGACAGGGCAGAGGCATTAGTGACCAGCAATGTCATTCTCAGGTGTGGCAGGGATAGATGACTGCCCCTCAAAGGCCTTTTTATGGCTGAGCCAATTTAGTGGGATGTGTTGGCCCAGCTAGAGCTGTATCTCCCAGACCCCTCTGCACTGGAGGAAGGGGTCATGATGAGTTCCAGCCCACAGGATGGCAGCGAGTGGTGCGTGCCATTCCCCACTTAGGTGGTTAGGAAACAGGTACATTGCCTCTCCCTTCCCTCTTCTTCCATCTGCTGGCTGAATGTGGACAATCCCACAGCAGACTCAGAGGCCCTACAGCAGCAGTCTCTAACCTTCTTAGTACCAGGGACTGGTTTTATGGAAGGCAATTTTTTCACAGACTGGGGTGGGGAACGGTTTTGATATGAGTCTTCAAGCAATTGATTATGTTTCTATGCAGTCAGACCTCTTTGCTAATGATAATCTGTATTTGCAGCCACTCCACAGTGCCAGCGTCACCACCTCAGCTCTACCTCAGATTAGCAGGCATTAGATTCTCATAAGGAGCACACATCCTAAATCCCTCCTGCATGCAGTTTGCAGTAGGGTTCCTACTCCTATGAGAATCTAATGTTGCCACTGATCTGACAGGAGGTCTAGCTCACGTGGCAAAGGGAGAAATGGGGAATGGCTGTAAATACAGATGAAGCTTCACTCACTCACCTGCCGCTTACCTGCTATGTGTGGCTTGGTTCCTAATAGGCCATAGACTGGTGCTGGTCTGAGGGCAAGGGGTTGGGGACTACAGCCCTAGAGGATGACAGAACCTTACCAGGCCTCCCACAGGCCAGGGACACTTGCACTGCACTGTTGTATGATTAGAAAGAAAACTGTAGTGTTAGGCAACTTGAGTGTCTGGCTTATTGTTATAGCAGTGATTGTTACCCTAGTATATCTAGTTTTAGAAAAGACACCCTTAAAACCAGACTGATGCTGAGATCCAAGTCCCCTTGAAAGCTGAAATGTCCCGAGAGGTTGGTTTTGTGCCTCTGGCCTCCACCAGACACATTCTCCCAGTCCACATAGAGCAGGCAGCTGGGGCAAGGCGTGTAGTGTAGCGATTTTAACACCCTTGCACAGGGGCCCCTCATTGGCCCACAGGCCTCAGTGCAGAACAGGAAATGCTGATGACACCTGAGGACCTTCATTCTGCCATAGCAACTGGGAGAACTGCCTGGGTAGAAACACAACCACAGTATATGCTGTGTGCTGTGCTGGTGACCTCGAGACCTGTCTCAGCTGCCCCCATGGCTTGTTGGGGGGAGGAGCTGAGTAGCCAGGCAATAGCTAAGAAGTCTCCAAATAGTGCTTTTGAAACCCAAAGACCAGCTAGATGCTGCTTAAAACAGTTACTTGTTTCGTCCAGCCTGTCCATGCTCTTCCAGCTGGGCAGAGCAGACTCCTCCCTTGGGTGGTGGCCCTGGTCCCTTGGTGGCCTTGACACTGCCCCCAGTGATGAGGTCTTCAGGGCATCTTCCCCAGTGATGGAGAAGGCAGACTGGGACCGCTGGGGAAAGAAATAGAAGAGAGGAGAGTTTATAAGGCACAGTCCCTGGGAGGATACTGTCATCTTCTGGGGCAGTCACTGTACGGCACAGAGGAAACATGATTAATGGTAATGATCCCTCTCATGTGAACCCTAAAAGCTGCAAATCAGTACATAATCGCATGTAGTAGTACAAATGGTTCCCTGTTCATCCCGTTGCACATCAGCCAGGCCTACTAGAAAGCACAAGAGATGCAGTGGAACCCTGTGGGGCCAGCTCTCACATGGCTTCTTCTTACCCAGTCATTTTCTCAGCCAACATTTCTTAGAGCCAACTGCGCATGATGAACTCCGTGCTATAGGACATGCAAAAACAAAAGCATCTTCCCTCGAAGACCTCTAAACTTGCAGAGTTCCAGTAGTGTAAACACAGTTACAGCACCATGTACGTGCTATATCAGAGAAGTGAGCAGAGTACGGTTGGTCCATAAGCCCAGGACAATTACAACATAGCCCCAGTGAGCCCCTGAATTAAAGGAAGGAAAACAAACTCTAATATAAGGAAAAGTGGGAGAAGTGGGAATTCAAATGAATGATGCGAAGGAAATATAATTTGAAATGATTTTATATAGATATAAAATATATATCATATTCTCAAACTATATATACAGACACCATCAAACAGAAAGAGACCAATTTTTCCTTTCTTATTTAATAAAGGAATTATGCCTTATTAGTTAATTACTTTGCTTTTTTTATATGGATAAGCAGGAGAGGAGGGGCATATTCACAAAGCCACTAAAAGCATTTGTGACTACAGTATTAAACAAAGTACTTTCCATAACTCAGGCCTTCTATGTGATCTGCCTCCATCCATTGGCCGCCATTGACTCCAACAGCCCTACTCCTTGTCCAGTGGGAAATGTGCTCACCTCATTAACTGCCTTCTCCTATTTCACGAGCTTGGAATAGGAGGGCTTGGGCAGGGCTGTGGAATGCTTTGGGGCTGGACTTAGGAGTCAGCCATGTCTGGGCTCCAACACCAGCTCTGCTATAATACCTGGGCTGACTGATGTGTGTAAGCTTTCCCTGCATTCAGGGTAAACCGTATGATAAATGGTAGCTTAAAAAAAAGGTGAGAGAGAATAACAAGAAAACCAGCACAAACTAGCACAGGACATTTGGATGACAACACTGAGCCCTATAATTGGAGTTTGGGGAGAGGATGATACACGCAGCTGCCTTGCCCCTGAAGGAATGTTAAACAGTCTGAGAAAAGACACAGAGACAGGTGAGGATCAAAGCCCAGTAGGACAGGCCAGGCCAGGGTGTCTGGCACACTTTGGTGGAGAGTGTTAGTTCAGGCCAATGTAGGTCCAGAAGGAGTCACAGGAAATCTTTATTTCTTCCTTGAATGCCCACAAGAACTTTCAGTGATCTAGGAGGAAGATGGGCTTATAGAACAAATATGGAACCCTGTAAACTGTATACCAGGGTCCCAACCTGTCTCTTATCCCTTTGAATCCAGTAAAGAGAGCAAGATGGGCCTCCAGACCTGCCTTTTAATGAGGAGGTCCGGGACAGTGCAGCCCAACGGCAGTGAGCTGTCCCCATCTTGTCAATTCCATAAGACTCTGTGTGTTGACAGATTCCAGTCCAAACAAGTCATGACCTGTGGAAAACCCACTGATTACCCCTTTCCACAAGCTGGTTGGGGTCCTGGGCGTCTCTATACTTATATGTGCTTTGTTTTATTCTACTGAAAACATTTATTTTCTGGCCTGGGGTCCCCACCAGACTGTGGAGCAATTGAGGGCAGTTAATGTCCTGCAAATAATGACATCTCCAGCCCCTGGCATAGTAACTGGTACAGAATTGGAAATCAGTGAATGTTTGCTATGGAGTGACTGGCTGGCTTTTCAGAAGTGCCTAAAGAGAAAGAGATAAAAAGAAGCCCACTATTATCTCCACTTACACCCTGAAGAACAATGTCTTACTTTGAGGAGGGCCAAGCAAACATGCCTGTGAAGGTGCTTTCAGTCAAGTGTCACCTTGTTCATCATGAGGGTGCAACAGGCATTGACCCTGTCCCAAGTGTCAGAACAGTTCTGACAATGTATTGTGACAATAACTGAGGCTTTCACAGGGTTAGATATTTAGAAAACCACCTATAATTTTGCTAAATCTTAGACAGATAATAAGCAGTTTTCAGAGAGGACAGAGATCGAGGTTGGTGGTCAATTGGCAAGTGAAGTTGTTAAAAATTAAGGAAAATTAAGGTAAACCCCCATGCATTGGTATAGATCCCTCCGTGGACTCAGCAAGGCTTCTCATTCTGTGTGGTCACCTGGCTCTGTCCATGCTTTGTTATAACTGTGGGCTGACTTGCCGAGTCTTCACAGACCATGAGCTCCAGGGAGGCAGGTAGGGACTGCGTGTGTGATCTTCAGTCACATGTTTGTGACTGCATTTGCAGGATGTAAGACATGGTTCTGGCTGTGATGAAGCTAATAGTCTAGTTGTCAGATGCAGTATTACTGCAGCCTCTCAGAAGCCATTTGGTATAATCTGGCCTTTCAAATAATACCTACAAGTTTTTTACTACAAATCATCAAATACAAGTTTTGAAAAGGGAATAAACAATATCTAATATTTCATTTTGAAGTGGCTCGAGCTGTATTTCATGTGTGTACATGTGATGGCTGGGATCCAATTTTATGGGACAAAAATGCTTCCTCATCCCTTATAAATGCCAAGAGCAACAAATGAAAAGCTCTTTTCTGGTCCCAGCAGGGAAGGTGGGTTCTGCTTTTTTTTACAAGAGATTTGGGGATGCCCGATTTTTGTAATGTATTTAAAGCAAACCATTGCTTCAAACTAAAAACCTGGACCATCACTAAAGGCCCCAGAAACCTGTCTCTAGCAGGTTTCAGGGCACTGATGGACTATAGTCTCCAGTCAGGGTGGAAAAGCCACAGATCTGAGACTTAGTCCTACCTGGCTTTGCCACAAATTCACTACAATGAACACATGTCCAGCAGATGGCGCCACAACAACGCCTTTTCTCACCAGATAGACTTTGTGGCTCCTGGAAAGTAATGAAATTATTTAAATTATTTGGTTGCTACCCTGGATGAACCCTCTATGTCCACCCTTTCTTTCCTACTCATAGCCTCTTCTTGTCTTACTTCTTCATGGAAGAAGCAGGGCTGGTGACATCTAGAAGACCTGGGTTTCCAATGTCTGCATATTTATGTGAGGGGGCTGCATGATGGGGGAGTCCATGGGTCCAGGAATGCTAACATGTCAGTAATGCCTTGCAAAAATGGACTCCAGGAATTGCGATTTCAGATAGGCCAGGCCTTCTCCTTTATTCTTAGACATCAACTAATACATGTTAGCCAGCTCCTCTTCTTGGTATGTGAATTCTGGGGCATGTCAGCTGCTCTAAGCATCAGTTTCCTCATCTTAAAGGACCAGTACCATGTATGACACAGAGAAAGCACTCAACAAATGTTAGCCAAAATAAGAGCCTTTATTGAGCTCTACTTCTAAGTCAGTGCAATCTGTCCATACTCACACTCAGTCTGATTGATTGTACATGAGTAAACTGAATAGGCCTGAATAACTTGCCCAAAGTACCTGAGTGGTCAAGGGGCAGAGGCAGGGTTGAGCTTGGGTCTATCTGGCTGCAGACTGATGCTCCTCCATGCTCTCTTGGTGTGTGCCCGACAATGCTTTGCTGAAAGTCTAGCAATAATGTACTCCTGGAGAATGTGCCTTAGCCCAGCAGGACTTGCCTCCTGAACCAGCTGGCTCTGAAGCTCTGGGTGAAACGCCCAGTGCAATCATAAGTTCCCTTTGTATATCTCCCTTTGCAGTTGCTGCACCTCCCATGTGGGCACAACAATTTGTTCCACTTATATCTCTTAGAGTGATAGATTTCCACCATAATTGCCATGATGATCATCACTGCCAACAGGACAGGCTCTTGGAGGTACTGACCATGGCTTCAGATAGTCTTTTCTCTCAAAGAGCCCACAATAAAATAGGGAGAAAATGCCTTTAGTATCAAGGATTTGGGGGCCAATTATGACAATAAGAGTGTTCATATGCATAAACCCTAGTTTTGCTTTGTGTTTTTAAGGTCAGACATAGGCATTTAATTTAATCTCATAATCACAGCAATGATAAAAAGTACTTTAGTTCTATACTGTGGCCATTCAAAAGAGAGAGCAAATGTCAGGGAGGAAATAATGGAGACAAAAAGAGAAAGGTCCCTCTAGTAAAGGACTAGAGACAGAACAGAGAAAGGGTCAGACAGAGATTCATCTTGGTCACTGGGCACAGAATGACGGTCTGGCCCTTGGTGATGGATAATAATCATTATAATTATTATGAATGGCAACACTATATTATTACCAAGATGCCTTTTAAGACATATGCATCCAAAATGGGATTAAATAAATTATAACCCTTTCACTGGTGCCTTTTAAGATAATTCCTCTTAAGACTCTGAAATACAGCTTGCATTGACCCCTACTATTGGCAGGGAGCTATGTAATGAGGGAGAATATTAAAAAGGGAACAATCATAATAAATTTTCTTTTAAGAGAATAGATGGAAAGTCTGGCTGGGGATGAATTAAGTTTGGGTTTCACAGTTAAGTTCCAGGAGTGGGGCCTGCAGGATGTGGGGATTCTGCATAGTTATTCCCTGAGCTAGAGATGTCCAGGGCACTGGAGAACTGAAGAGAAAGTAGGAAGCCCTATCAGGAGGCCACAGGTCAGGGATCCTATTTTAAGATATTGTGAAGACATCATCTTTAAGCCTGGCAGCCTGTTGGCATCACCTGGGAGCTTCCAGTAGGAAGACGAATGCCTGGGCAGGGACACAGATAAACATTCAGGGTGAGAACAGCTGGGGGAAGGTGAAATCCCCGAGAACTGAGGCTTAGCCTGCTTGTGTCCATGCTCTGGTCATTGTCCCTGCATATTCCTGCCTTTATGTCCTCTATTCAT